TGCGCTCGAGGCTGGTCGAGCGAGTCGGCGAAAAGCTTTTTCTCCATCGCTCTTCGTTCTCGATATCGGGAGATTCGGTCTCGAGAACCAGGCTCGTGCGACCGGCCGTCGAATTCGGCAGGTCGCGAACGCGAACTCTCCGATCGATCGCAGGACGGAACCTCCGAGGTGCGAGATCCTCGACGATCGACTCCGACTCGCGGCGAGCTGCGAGTTCTCTCCCGACGACGTTCGCGGCGTCTCGAAGAACGTCTCCGTGTCGAACGAGAAAATTCTCCCCTTCGACGAGCCATCGCGTCCTGTTTTTAACGGATCGGGTGGACACGAGGGCGCGACGATCCATTCCTTGGCAGATGCTCGAGGGATGGGAGACGACGGTAAGGGATGGAGGGACGGAAGACGTCGGAAGAGGTGGAGGGATGGGAAACGACTTGGAGCTGTGGTGTTTGAAGACGACTTGGAGGCCGGAGTGTAGTCGTGGGGGATTTTTTCGGGGGATACAAGGACGTTTTCTCTCCTTTTCCCCGCGTCGAGTCATTTAGGAAAACTCCTCGCAGACCCTCGCTCGGTCGACCCAATGATAATGCATGCAAGAACTCCGCGAGTCATCGTAACTCGGCGAGTTCCTCTCGCTCTTTGTCTCGCCGAAGGAGAAGCTCCCTCCTCTCCGTTTCCCTTCGAAGGCCTCGCAGATCGTGCGATCGGTTCGAAGGTCGAAAGCAGGCTTCGGCATGGGATTTCCTGCTCTTCGAGAGAAGAGATCTTTCGTCTCGACGGCGTCTCGTCTGCGTCGCAGAGACGCGAAACGCAAAACGCGAAGACCTCGGGTCTCGCTCGTTTCGAGCGGGATTCTTCTCTTGCCGCTTCGTCGTCGTCGCTCGACGATTCGTGAGAAACTGCCCCATTACGAGAACTTCTCGCTCGTTTCCTTCGCGGGACGAAAGGCCGGGGGTCGATGGGAACTTTTCGTATTTTTACGTGCAGACTCCTCACGTACGATACTCCTCGTAATAACGGTGACGAGAATATTTTGGGCCTACGTCCGTGCGATAACGGATGGGAAATTTAGCATCCCACCGTATTCGTCCCACCGTCCGTATCGGACGACGCAAGACGTGAGGGGTGGGCGATTATTTTCCCAGGCAACGGGGTTTTGGGTTAACCCTTCATAAGGTAATGGGAAGTTCAATCGCCTGCAACGTACCGACCACGTCTTGCCGCTCCTCCGTTTCGCTAAACGGGCACTGGCAATCGTGAGGCCACCCGATAGATTTTTGCGTAAATTGGAAAAAAAAATCTGAAAGAATTTAAAACCGTATCAAGATGTTTTCGTCGGTCTCAAAATCACCTAAAACAAAATATATTCTCAGACGATTTTTCTGCCCCATAAAAAGTTAAAACGCTCTTCGTTCGAAGAAGCAGTCAAAGAGCAGATCGTTTAGGGCTCGGCTGGTAAAAAAAAAGTTAAAAAAATGAAAGCCGGAAGCGGTCGTACGGAAACGATATATGTATTTCCTGGATGTTCGAACTCGAACTCGAGTTCGCACGATTTGGACACGTTTGGCACGGGAGAATTCACGGAACGTCTCCACGAGGGACGCGAATGAACACGAAAAAGGAGGACGGACACAAAGACGAAAAGCGGAGAGATCGAGAAATATTGCACGCATGCGAGGGAGCGACCCCGCACGACGACGAACGACCGGCGGTCGAGGGTCACGTCGGTCGCACGTCGAACCGAGGATGCACCGGAGATGCGGCAGACGGAACCTCGTCTCCGGGACGAACACGGCGCGGCGATCTTCTTCTTCGGCGAACGGTGGATCCTCTCCTTCGGTCCCTCCGTCGCACGGCAGCGCGGGTCTCGCGATCTTCAACCGGATCTCCGTCGGTTCCTGCGGCGTCCTCGTCCCCGGGATCGTTCCCTCCACCGCTGAAGAGGAAACACGTGCCTTCACGACGCGGACTCGTCTCGAAAAAGGATTCGACCGACGGACGAACGACATCGATCGGTCGAATCGACCTTCTTCCCGTTCGAACTACGGACGATCGCCCGGAAAGCTGGTTTGCGGTGGCAACAGTGGTATCGGGGGGAAGTCCACGAAACAAAAATACGTTTAAACACCTCTTCGTTTTTGGATGTATTTTCCAAACTTATACATTTTAAGCACGGCCAAACGATAGAAGAAAAAAAAAACGATGCCGTGGGCTGATCTTACCGAGGTCGCCGGTGCGGATCGCCCTGGTTGCTTCCTCCTGGGAGCAGGGTCGGCGATCGACACGGATGCGACGGGAGAGTCGTTTAGGATCGCGGCCGGAAAGAGACGAAGGAGAGTCGCCCGAGGAGATCTCGCGAGGAGCACCGGGGATCCGTTCCGGGAACGGACGCACGGATCGCGACGAGATCCATCTTCCGAGTCCCCGACGTTCTTCCCGGCGTCGCACGCCGGTGACGGCCCGAGTCTCTTCCTCGTTTCCTCGAGACGGTCGCTACAGGATGGAACGAAGGGGACGAGCGCACTCGGATGCATCCCTGCGAAGACGGAACGCTCTGCGTGCGGTCCCACTCCAAGGCGTTTCCGCGTCCC